CATACATACGTTCGTCCGTGGGCATGGAGTATGTAGCGAAGGGCAGGCATCAGCAGGAGATTGAGACGAGTCGTCGTCGTGGAAGAAATGCCTGGAGGAAATCTGAAGCCATCAAAATTCTTGGGTAAATAGAACCCAAAACCAATTAACCGGTACGTATTCATCACCAGGACGGGAGATTAATTTGAAAAACAATTCAAAGGATTTTAATCATTTCCCTCAATTTCATTCCTTCCCAGCCTTTGCCTCTCTCTCTCTCGCTTTGCATACACAAATCCTCCGACTTCCATTAAAACTTAACTAATTGCGCTGCACTACATTATTCAGACCAATTTGTTACTTGGTCTCTCAAGGAGGAAGAGGATGCGATACAGCGTGCGAGGCAATTTATTCACTTGCGACCCACGGAGGTGTCCAGCCAGCTCGTACACAGTCCACTAGCTTTTTTCACCACTTTGCCCAACACTATATATACAGATGCAAATACATAATCTCTTTGTTTGGTCCCAAACGTGCAATAAATCCTTCGCGACTTTTTAAGTTATTTCGACTCCGGACTTGTGCAGGATTCTGTCATAATGTAAATGGGATCATTAATTAGTGTCCTCGATTACTATCCCGATTAGATAACGAAACCCGCCCTGCCACACTCAAACTTATTGCTGTGGAACACTGCTTATCAGTGAGATCCAGGAGGGAAGATATGACCCGAATGGTGGTGGTGGTGGGTGAGATTGGGTCCAACCCGATATCGCAATGTGTCACATCCAGCCTTTATCCATCCTCGGCCAGGACAGAGTGTTTATGTTTATGCCCACCCAGGGAAATGAAGCCAATATGTTTTGATGCCGCACAACAGCCGACTTCCGGGGATCCTGTCACCTAAAAACATGACGGAGGCAGATTTCCCTACTTTAGTGCAAATGTAATGACGCAATTTTCTGAGACTGTTCTCTCTCGGAGCACACCGTCCATGCCATCAGTCAGTCAGTTGTGGTTGGTTATTTGCTTATGAAGCATTTCATTTGCAGAGTGGCCCAGGACTAATAAGTCGAGTGGTGGAGGTGGTGGTGGTGGGTGAGTGAAACGAATGTTGTAAGTGCAGCAGGGGTAATTAATGATTTATGGCAATTCGGGATTAATTAGATTCCCGAAATGAAATATGGGTCCGGAGACGTGAGACAGGCAGGCAGGGCCCAAAATCCAATCCACTCGGCCCTGTCACTCAGCCGCACATTTATTACATTACTACACAATTATTATATGCATCCGAAAACTCAATTCAATATCCACCAACTGTTCCCCCGTCTCATTATTACGTGAGCAGCGACGACATCACGACCCACCGTCGCATCTACGTACAATATCACTACACCCCCAGTTTCAATTGGATCCACACATTGCAATCAGGATGATAACTCGGCTGTCGTCGAGTTGACTTTACGCTGCATTCACAATTGCAGATGAGCTGACGACGACGAGTGATCATCTCACACATTCTCATGGATCCTCACCTTCCTGGAGAAAGTTGAGTTCAGTGTGGTCAGCGGAAGTAATGAGGAGACAAAGTTTGAGCGACTCCTGCCTACGTTCGTATGTGCACAGTGACTGATGGATGGATGGAAATTAGACCTTGGACGTGAGTCAAACTCGGAGCACCACCACCGCAGAAACAATAAGGTTGATTAATACTCGCTCGTCACTCTCTCACTCACTCTCCAATCTGCTTCATCTCCTAATTTAAGTGCTCTTCACTCCCATCCACCCCAGTCAAATAAATGAGATGAGATGAGAAAGGGGGCGTAGAGAGAGAGGGAGAAAGTCGGCGAAAGCCACGGCGACGCTGCCTTCCTCGCCGCCCCTGCCGCGATATTGCGAGCTGGAGATGAGGACTGCTGCCACCTCGCATTATATTAAGATTAGACGGCAATATTGGAATATCATGACCAAATAATAAGCAAATTTCCCACATGCATCACCCACAACTGGCCGCATGCAGACGATGTACGTGGGCTGCCCGGGTATGAGGACTTGCAATGGTGGAGAGCTGTCTGTGATGCGACTGTATGCGGAGGGTCGGGCCGAGGAGGGGATACTACTCCGGGTCGAAGGTAATGTAATGGATTCAATTTCCTGCTCCCCTCAAATGCCAAATGCACACTTGGAGCGAGACCCCAATGCTTGGCAAAGGCTTGGTGTGGGCCCAGCTGCTGTGAGACTTCGATTAAAACGGCGATATTATTAATATTTCCCTCAGCCTTCATCCATCCATCCATCCATCGGGTGAGAAGAGCCGCAAGTAAAAGTGTGTGTGTGTAGTTTAAGAAGTAATGCCAAAGTTGTAATGGGAGTCTAAGCCGGCATGATCTACATTGGAGTTGGGCTTGACTGCTCCACATCTTGGAGGACGACTTCCCCTCCTCCTCGAACGGAGGAGCGAGTGGGTGGGTGGGTGCATGGATGCCAAACTTTTTAATCATTTCCCAGCCAGGCCAATTTCACGACGGGAAAGTTATCTCATTTTACATCATCATTTTTAGCTAATTTCTTCACACCCGGGTTCCCTTCCCTCTCCCTGCTGAATACCAAATGCCCGAATGCTGCTGGGCCAACTAGCCTCTCACCAAACCAAACAACCAACACGTGGTGGTTTGGTCTCTGAAAAAGAGGATGCATCCGTCTGGGAAAGGTGGTAGAATGCAGCCTTCTCTCTCTCTCTCTCTTGATGTAGCCTATGTCCTGGTCAAATAATGATCAGACAGGACGGGGAATGATATGCGGAGGGCCTGTGAGCTAATGGACAGGATGAGAGGGGGCCAAATGGATAAGGCCAAAGTGGAGTGGAGAGAGTGGAGTGAGTGAGCAATTGAAAATGAGCATTAGTAAATATTAGTCATTGGTTCATTAGCCACCCATTTCCTCATTAGAAAAGTGCGTGATGAGATTGCAGAAAAAGCTTTTACCCGACCAATCCACCCCATCCACTCATCCCACCACCACCATTGTCCCGCTCACAATCCCCCCTTGGACATGGGAGAAAGCACTGATACCCACTTCTCCCCCTCCGCATGCACCATGTGTCACTTAGGCTCCCCCAGCAGAGCCCCTTGCGGGTGGAAGGAAGGAGGGGAACACCGTATCGTACTCTCGTCCAAATTCCCTCCTAAACTTCCACCCAGTTCTAGAGAGTTTGAGAAATTAAGGATTGAAGGGCCGAAGAGGGAAGAGCAGAAGCGGGATGGATTGGAAATTTCGAAAATTCCAATTCCCTTTAAAAGCGTAAGAGGATGGAGGAGGAGGAGTGAGTGAGTGGCATGGATGATGGGAATATAGGATGATGGGACGGATTGATTACGCTGAAAGCTTTTTTCATTAGGAAAATTGGGGAAAATCAAATAAAAATGTAAGACATGCTCAAGGTCTCCCACTCCAATGTTCACCAGCACAGCCCAACCACACCCACAGGGAGAGTTCGATTGGGAACGGAGTGGGTGTGCCCTCCTGGGTCCCGATATTGAAAACTTAGCGAGTCCCATTGTCACCACCAGCTAATGCAAATGCAAGTCGACGCACATTTCGTACGTACGTATGTGCATGGAATCAAATAAATGTGCACCTTATGAAAATTAGGAGGCTAATATGTGATAAAATTGCTTTTGTAATAATGTCAAGTGCACATGGTATGTGTTTTGAGCCGACTTTGGGGTTTGGTTCGATATCTATCTCATCACTCTAGTCGATCCACTCACACTTTCTCCAATTTGCTTATTTGGAGGAACAATTCGCTCCTCGTGCTGCTTTTTTGCTCCCTCGGAGTGCGAGTCTAATAATGAAAATGCATCCGTCCAATTCCCAACATCAAAATCACTTTCCATGCTTATCTATCAGAGCCTCCTAATGGACCTTGTGGCATTATTAAAGCATCCAGCAGCAGGGACAAGACAGACCAAACACCTAATTTCCCAAATTGCACGGATCCATAATACATTATGCAATGAGAGCTCCACTACCACCACCCAATCCTCATTCTCCTGATAATTAGGCACATACCCATGTTCCCCACAACCGCTACATTGATCCCCCATTTAAACTACACGTCCCCAAAGGGTCCAGTCGTCCCCCATCAAATCTCGTGACTATTTACAACTCAATGGTCACAATAGTTGGCACATCTTGTTACAAAAATCACCCCATCCTTTTGGTCACCTTGCCTTACCGTTGGTATCATAAATTGGTGATATTATTGCCCCCTCCTCCAAGGGGTCCAATCTCTTGGGACCGGTCCCTCTGGATCTTTTAGTGAGATGAAATTAATCTCGCAAAGTAAACGTGAGAGTGCCCACATCATCCACGACTCTTATTATTATCTAATATATTTATTATGTCAACCTTTTATGCTCCCCTGCCTACCCAACAGCATTTTTCTCTCCGATTATTTTCCCTGCCTCGCATAGACTACGTACATACGTACATAGGTCTGTAAAAAAATAAAATAGTAAAAATTCCATAAAACTCTAAAATTTAATGGTCAATTCCATCCCAACTCGGAGTTTATGGAGGCTTGTGGAGGAGTGGGCGGCATTCTTGTTTAATTTTGTTTAGTATTTGTTTCACTTAAATCCTCGCCTAATGTATACTGAATGAGACCCACTGAAGCCAACGTCCTGCTCCTCTCTCTTTTTTCCAAGAGGGGTGCATTACCTTAATGAAAACGACTAAATTATTTACTTATCAAAGATGAGCAAATTACGCCAAATGGTTTCTCCCTATCACTGAACCCATGCCATCATGCTCATCTTGATGAATTTTCATTACATTCTCCTCCGGATGACGGAACTTGAGCTGGTACGTAGCACACCCACCAGAACTTCCTCATGTGCGACTATTTATATGTATTTAGAGCAGCTCCTTTAATGACATGCTGCTTTAGCAATTAAATGTATTCGCAATTAATTACTGCCGAATTTTTGCACGATTTTTTCAAGAATGGACAATGATGGTTATGCATAAATAATAACTTTATTTATTGGTTTCTCTTCAATTCCCATGCTCCATCCGTTATTGAAACATTTCAATAAATTTTGGAATTTCTTCTCAGCATACGCGCGTCACCCTATACGCATGCATAAGTAATAATAACAATGATAATAAGTAGTATAATAATATTTCGTTACGAAAACAACAACTTTCCAAGTCGTTCAAAAATCTTATAATTATTTTCGTCGTGATATTTATGCTGTATTTTAGATTACGCAATAATTATTAGCTTATGCTATGTTATATACGTTTACACTTGTGTAATAACTACATTTTACATGATTTTTCAGTTACGTTAATTAAAGATGATGATTCTTCTTTTCCAAGTTATGTAAGTGATTTTAAATTACGTGTCGTGGGATTTTGTTTTCTTTATGTACACTGTTTTTTATACAAATACAACTACATGATTTGAGTGAGTGAACATATAACTTGCTTAATTAATATACGTAAATAAGAAGGAGTTAAGATATCCTTGTCAATTATGTAATTTAAATATACACGGTAGGAACATGTGGCTCTGTTCTGCATGAATTTGCAATTAATCGTTTTTTTGTCACAAAATAATTATAATTGAGATCGTTCCCCGAAGAACAATAGACCCGGGTTTTATTTTGGACAGGCATTGTCTTAAAATTACTATTTTTTAGGTGAATTGTTGTAAATGATCAGATTTTCCACTCCAAAATACAACCCTGATCAGAGGCCCCGTTGAATTGTTTCAATTATGCAGATAGATACGTGCTGATTGGAAAGTGCTTTCACAATAATAAATTATTCTCAATATGTTATCTAATGCTCACCATTAATTAAGGGTTTTAACATACAACAATAACTACTAAAAAAGTATACGTCATCCTCTTCTCCCATTTCGTTACATCGTCATCATCTGAACAAAAAATGGTACAAAATGCAACTAAGTTTTCTAACATGTAAACTAATAGTATACTTTGTTTGATAAGAAATGAAATGACATCGTCACCTGAACTAATGAGAGAATGAAAATTATGTAAAGTGACCTAGAAGAAACAAGTATAACAATAAATTTGTACATATTTTCCTCTCCCCGTCAAAACTAACCGAATTAATTAGCACTACAAATACACGTGTGTGTAGCTACATTGTAAATACTTGAAAAGGCGGATGGACTACATATGAAATGCAATAGTCAAAAAATGATACCGATTTATGTGTAATTCGTTTCCACTGCACCCACGCACTCATCGAAACTTCTTCTCGATGCAGTATTGTAAGAGTCGTTATTATAAAATGTGTATAGTGTTAGGATATCAAGTTTGAAATACTAAATAATTTTTTACTCTTGAATTTGTTATATTTGCTTGCCAAGTCTAAAAATGGTGCGATATCGTAGTCCAAAATTTTATAAAGTGTGTGTATTTACTGTGTTTCCTTGAAAGAAGAAAGTCTGCATGGATCCTCTTTGTGGGCAATTACGAGAAGAAGGACGACTCTTCTGGACTCAACAGGCATGAAATCTCTTGTTCCTCTGGCTCTTTTGAGGATATCTAGAAATGTATATGGCGAAGGTTGGTTGCGTAGGACTGGACAAACAATGGACACATCACAAGATTCATTTTCCCTCGTTGGGTTGTCTTGTTCAATTAGATTCTTAATCAATTCTTCTCCTCCTCCTCCTCCTCTTGGTCAATCTAGTAAAGTCCAGTCCGCAGTTTAACCACGTCTGTCCGATCGGAGAGAGAAGATGGATTTATATGTTTTCTCCACTCCGCTGGTCCAGAAACAATTTGCTCAAAAAACAGCGTGTTCAATATTCTCGATACTAATAATACTTTCCTCGGCCCCAATAACTCGTCCTGTTTTTGAGTATGTTTGAGATCCCATCAGCACTTGGTTGCGCACAGCGGACAAGTAAATAAGTAGCGAGTGGACAGAGGAAATGAGAGATATCCAGGACGTCGTCTTATGCAATGTGTAATCAGTTGGGTTTCTTGAATCTGCAAGAAAAATGAGTCATTTTTACATGTACTACACACGCTTTATACTTACTTGTAAGGCGTATAAGCACAAGCATAAAAGCAATCAGCGAAATTAGCATCATTTTTTCCTCGTTGAAATGAAATAGAAGAACAAATTGCAATCATGGGATGATGAGACGGCGAGTCGGCATCATCATCACCACCACCTGAATTTATTACAAAACCCACGTTACCAATCAGGCAGAAAACGAAGCCCAACTTTTCTGACTTTTAATTTATGAGCCGTTTGCCCACGTTTAAATTTCAATTAACTTTCAACCTCACAAGTCATCCCCAACCATGGCTTGCCCGGCTGTAGGACTACATATAAAGTGGCGTTTAATTAGGACCACGATAGATTATTCCATTTTCGATTCCACGTAGCCCAAAAACTTTGTTGCACCACACGACACTAAATGCGAGAAACAATCACATAATATTGTATTTTCATGTTTTTCTGTTTTACACTTGCAGCCAAATTAAACATACGTTTTCGTCTGTGGTGGTCACGCAGAGAGAGCTTTATTATGCAATTTCGGGATTGCAGATATACTACGCAGTAATGACCCAAATATCTCACATAACCACCACGTGAGCGTCGTGTAGATTGAGGTGGCTGACATTATTTCAGTTTGCAAATATTAAGCTAAATTGGATAAAAACTACGCAGTAAGTCCTTAGCATCCCAAAATGTTCAAAAACTATTTCACTTCATTATAAACCCATTCCCTGGGCGGTCATAAGTGCACATAATTTGCTCGTTTCTCTTGTCACACAAAGGGCGACTTTGATCTTATCGAGAAATCATGTAAATCCATTATGGACTCACGACAACAGCAACAACATGACAAAGAGGAAAATATGCCATTCTTCTTAATAAACTTGCCCAGCCACCACCAACCAACCAACCACTTGGAGTATAGTAATTGCAAATAAAATTAATGAGAGGTCATCTTGTAATCTGGTCCTCAATCAAAAAACCCAGTCTCATCATCTCTCAAATTAAAATCTGTCCACATAATATGGACTCGACTGACACACCATTTTTCCCTCTCTCATCATTAAGCTTATTATAATTGAATTAATTGGTCTTCAAAATTCCAGGAGTGCATAAAATCGAGTAAAAAATAACAAGTTGACCAAGGATCTGACATTGTGCACATGATCTCTCTCCTACCAAGTGGCCACATGCATTTGTGTGGAGGTTTGGATGGATAGACATCATTAAAACTTGCAGCTGCGATCTGACTGATTGCCAAAGAATGAAGAAGAGTGAACGAAATTCAACCGAACCCTCCCAAGGTCAGCCAATTATCGGAATTGTCAAGCCAAAGTAAAAGAGCGAAAAAGCAATTTAAAACTTTTAACGATCTTCTTGATCCGCTCGTGGTGGTGGTGGCGATGATGGCGTAAAAGCCAATCTCTCGCTCTCTGTCACATCACGTTCGTCCACTTCTTTCAACCGGATGATGAGGACGATGAGGACAAGTGACAGCCTCAAATTACAAGACCCAAAACCAAGAAAAGGTGATCACATTATGAACGACGGACGCTGAGGTGATCTTCTGCCCAAGTGGTCCGACCGACACGCAAACACTGCTCATTTATCCGCATGAAGGAGATCACATGCCAATAATATGCACCAACTTGTGGCCAGAATATAACCACTACTCACTGCATCTTCTCTTAGGAGAAGAAATGGTTGATCCACATTTAAATACAAAGTGCACAATTTTTCATGCCAACGACCGGAGGAAGGATTGGGATGCGAGTCCCTTTCCTGCTAATCATGAGCTCTGCTAAGTAGGAGATGACGACATGACGCTGCATGAAGACGGAGGCTTATGTACAAGATCGAATTTGGTTGGGCAATCGCAGATCCGAGTAAAGTAATCAGGTGACAGGAAATCCAGACATTCATCCATTACAAACCATATCTGAATAAATGTGTAACATCACCACGAATGGTTGAACTCTGCTGCTCGCAAGATTGATTTTTTAGTGTAAAGTGGTCTCTCGAGGTAAATGCGAAAGGATTAAAATCAACCAAGCTCATCATCACAATCACCTCTCCTTCCACTGCTCCCCTCTTAAGTATTCAGTCTCATAATGACACGATAGCTTTGACGAATGAAAAAATTCCTCAAAAATATCGAGCCACACTCTGAACTTATCAGAGTTGATGAAGCGCAACTCTTTTGCGGCGTCTTGAAAACGGAGAGTAAAAGTGACGGCGAAATGTTGCGAAGGCAGGAAGTGAGTAGTAAAACTGGCTCAAAGAAGAGAATATAATAGACTTATGTGATAACGATTTTACGACGTTTACTCATCCCTCGCTCATTATCATGTGCTAATTGAGCAGGTGGACCCAGCGCAAGAGGCCCTATCACCTATGATGATGATGCCTTTTACCATCTTATTTTCACACCAACGTGTCGATCAAGATTTGACGGAGGGAGAAAAAATATGGATAATCCGACCAGTCAGACAGACTTTTACCTAGACTTCTACCTACCAACGTAAATACGTACATGTTTGGCTGGGTTGAAATTCTTCAACTAAATTCATAATGCATCTTTAATATTTTGTACAAAATTCCGGCACAACGTTTAACAATGACACAAACTATTTTCAATTATACATCATTTCGACTTCCAGCTGCTCCATGCATTTGATTTGATTTTTAATCACGGATAACGATTTTACTTAACTTGTAGCAATATAATCCTCTCTAAAATTCCATCTCTTCTGAATCTGAATCTTATTTGGAGAATAAACAGACTTCCCCACGTCTACCTATTCGGAGGAGGAAGCAAAGTGACCTGGGACAAAAAGGGAGAGGAACAACAATGGGACGAGATAATTGGCCACACATGGCTGCAAAGGGTCTCAGTGGGGATCAAGTCGCTGGGTGTGACCCCCTCCCGCGGACCCTTCTTCCCTTCAGCGCTATTAACCTCACAACCCAAGGTCAGAGTCAGAGAGAGCCCTTCCTTGCCTGTGTGGAGAGAGAGAAGGCCCTTTCCAATTAAATGTGTACCAGGCGAAGGAGCAGAGGGGCCAGCAGAGTGGCGTTATTTATTATTCGGGGGATTGATGCTAACAACAAGTTTAAAAGGTTGATTTTCCTACCTGCAATCCAATCCAGACTCATTCACTCTTATTCCTGCTTCGTTACAACAATACTCATAATCTTTCCCTGCACCAATGATTCCATTCAATTTGGAACGAAAGGAGCCAGCAGACAACATAAATCTAATCCAGTATGAGCACATGCATCGGTAGGAAGTCTGCTGGACCAGTTGGAAAAGTATGATCGTGATTCGTGACTCGTTCCAGACCAGAGAGATGTTCTGGTGAGAATGATATAAAAATGGAAATTTCAATTAGTCTCCCGCAGTTAAATAATCATAATTTATTATTAATTCACTCACGCAGTAAGAATACCAAAAACTAAATTTTATCATTTCCCTCCTCCTCCAATTGACCAAAGTGCAGATTAGTTGCAAAGCGTTTACTACAGTTTTAATTTCTGAAATGTGTACGCTTTGGTGGCCGTGGGTGGGTGGGTGTGGTTGATCTCGTAATAAAATTCCACTGTCCTTCTCCTTTCTGATCTTTCTCTCTCTTTGTGGCGTTCTCGAGTTGAAATCAACAAACCAACAACTCACTCACTCACCCACTCGCTCACTCACTGCAATGAAATAAAAAGGAAATAAAGTTTCTCTAATTCCAAATTCTTTCCTTTTTGTCTTTTTCTTTTTCTCGTAATGAAACAACAACAAAGGAAGAAGAGAACGAAGAGAGGACCAAGAAATGTTTCATTTCCAACCATGTATCTATATATGTAGGCAGGTACACGCATAGGCGAGGAGCACATGGATACGTACGACGAATGTACAGTCAATCCAATCTAAAGGGTAATCCAATAATAATACGTAATCTTTTCTCCGAGAAATTCCTTCCAATTTGTAATCCCGTCCTAATTGAACCAAAAAACGAGTGGAATGGAGTCAAAAACGGCGTTGACAGGTTTTTCTTTCCTTTATTCCCTCGTCCTACTGTACTCCTACTGCTGCACACATTAAGTTAATTGGTCCAGCCTGTACCCATCCCATTGTGGAGATTAATTAGCTCTCTCATTTAGGTAATGTGTTCTTACAAACCAATCGGATACAATTATCCGAATGACAAGGAGCCAATGGGGAAAGTCGACGTACATATTATTGGAGGAGCAATCTCCTCGAGCATGCACAGCATGGCGGAGGATGGAATATTGTGGAGACGACGGATGAGTGATGTGGTTGGTGGACTGGATTATTATTATGGATTGAAGTCTTGAATGAAAGTTCCGCACTCGGCTTTTCTGGAGGAGTACAAGCTAATCTAATTTATTCCAAAATTACCTCTTTCCTCGCCTTGATTGACTCGGATTTGGCCAAAAATGGATTACATTTCCCCTGGACGAGAAGTAATAAGCAAGCAGACCGAGCAGCAGCCATTCAGTCGTCACTCACTCACTCACTTCCTTCCTTCACGTCCACATAGTCATGGCCAAGCCAATGACGAGAGTCTGAGAATGACCCTGCCTGGCCGGACCCTTGTGTAACTGGTACCACGTTTGATGAGACTGTGACGAATACCTATCGCTCCAGTCGTCCTCATGTTTCACACCCTTCCAATTTGGAGAAAGCAAGCGCAGTTTCGTGTTCCAATTCTCCTCTCGAACATGATCGTGATCGTTATAAGATGCCCAAATTGCTGTTTAATTAACTCTCCCTTGAATAAGGATTGACGCAAATTTATGCATCCAAGGACCCATCTTGTGCGGACGGAGGAGTAATTAACGGCACGTGGTGGTGGCGATGGAGGCACGTGGTGTAGCAGAGATTCGCGTCCTCTGAGAGAACGGTGCCTGTAGTAATCTCTCTTTTGGAGAAAGCACTTCTTGATTAACTTTTGGACTCAGCACGAGGGAGAGGAGCAATTTAGAGAATAAGTTAATCATAAAATGGCGATATGATATGGCTCATCCTTTTAAAACTCATCCTCTTTGGCTGCCTCACTCCAATCCACTCTGCTCCTTCCTTCCTTCCCACCTAATTCAATCTACAGCCTCTCTCTGGAAAATCTAAAATGCATCAAAATGATCAAAATTGGCTCCCTATAAATATCAGCCATCCAATCCGAAAGTGATGGTGGTGGTTTGGCAGCGTGATGGTTTGCAGTCACTCACGGGGTCCCATTACTTAAGTTTATTATGAGGAGTGCTCCCAGGTCTGCTCTCGTGAGGTGGATCCAATTCAATCAGACCACCAAAACCAAACCACGGACGGAAGGAAGCAGCAGCAGCCCACCGGAGAGGAGGCACAAGAAGAGAAAGCAGCCGCGGCTGAATATTTAATGAAATGAATCGATGCCATGCACCAGCTACTCCTATCACACCAGATTACGTATGCATTACCCACCTGCATTACCACCACCACCAACATGCCCACCATGCACCCCGTCCATTACCCGCATCTTCCTTCATTACAGGTACATAGATGAACAACAATCCTGGTGGTGTGCAATCTCAAAATGTGTCTACCGTCACTCAATTTACTGCCCCAATTGCATGGTTATCTCCCTTATTGCATCTCAATTTTTAATGACAACAATGACGCCAAACAGCTCCCAGTTTAGATTCTGCTATTAAATAAGAAGCAAATTATTTAGGAGGACGATCGAGCCAATCAATTCGACCACTTGTCCCACAAACAAACACTGCAAGACGTAAGCACACTAGTTATTGCTCCAATAAAAACGTGCATCGCTCGCGTATGCATACGTACGGACGCCACTTCCGGCCACCCGACACTCACTCACGCATTTAAATTAAATGTCAAACTTGACACATGAATATCGAAAGGAAGGAGGTTTGGTTAGGCTGGATTTGGATTGAATAATTATAAATGAATGGATGGACACGCATTGATTCGATCGCTCCATTACTCCTGGATACAAATAGAAAGCAAAAACACAATCAAGCAATTAAAGTAATTGTTTTACTGCGCACTTGAGCACATTACTATTTAAGCAAAAAAAAGAGGAAAATATTTACCTTGATAGTTTCCTAAATTTCGGCCAGCAGATTGGAAATTTATTTTCTGGAAATGAAGTTGACGAGGGTGGTGGCGGCGTTGGTGCGGGATGATGATTGACAATTTTATCCGATCCGAATAGCAGAAATTGAGAGTTTTCCATTAATAGATATTTACGTACGTGGTAATTATTACTTTTTCACTGCTTGTGTATTTCACTATCGCTAAAATATATGTATAAGTTCTTATTGTTCGTTTTTGTATGTTTGGTTCCTCCACACACCAAGAACGACGACTTTTCTCCGGTACACGACACAGTTATGTATTTCTATCTATGGTTATAGAGCAAGGATATTATTATAGCATTGCACCAGAATCATAAGATCAGTCTCGACTCCTCCTGGGTCTCCCGACCTTCCCTTTTCTGGGCGCGGGGGTCGGACCGTTGGTCGCCGCCACGGAACCATTCCCAGGAGATCCTATTCCATTCTGCTTCATGACCTGAAACCCACCCCCACAAAAATTATACAGAATTCCATCCTCGCTTCAAACACGGTCAAATACTATCTGCATATGTAAGTAGCCATTTTGATACCTTAAGCGCATCCTGCTCACAAAAGAGTGCACCTAGTTTTGGAAAAAAAATAAAATGAATCGCAATTATTGCCGTGATTTCTCATCATCTCATGAACTACGTCGTCTCTGCTCTTTCTCTCAAAATAATGTGTAAATGCATACTCACCATTGAGGACTGAGTAACGATCACCGGTTGCCAAAGTTTTGCAACATTTCGAGCATGTGAAGCACCCCACGTGGAACACCATGGTTGGACCTACACAAGTACGAAAAATGCACAAGTGGTTAACAGACCAGATGACGCCGTGACTTGTAAATATTATTCAGCAGCTTCCTTACCACCCATTGGGGATGAACCCGCTCGCATCACAAACTCACTGTAATGAACAACATAATTAAATGACACAGTGATAATGATTTAACCTAGGAACGAGTATGGTTGGAGCCATACGCCATACGCCAAAAATACCCCTCCCCATTTCAACTTTTTCGTTGTACTCACTTGGAAGGGATGTGTTGACCGCACCCGCGACACGCCCCCTTGACTCCAAACATTCTGCAAAAAAACAATTTATAATAATTTATTAGTCCGTTTTTGGGTGAAATTCAATTGAATAAGTTGATCCGGAAGTTTGTCATTCCGAGTTGACAATGAGGAGGTGGTGGTGGCGGTGGTGACAACACTCCACGTCGACCATTTTAATTTCATGACGAGGCGAGAAATGCCACATCCTCCAGTCACATCAAATTTCTCCACTTGACAGACTGTGCCGGAGGAGAAATTTGAAAGGGAGATGAGCCATTTAACTCATCATGTCATCATCCGCGGAGTACGACTACATCCCTCGCTCACTGCGAATGGCGAAAATTTATGCAAACCCGATTCACATTCACACTTTCTCTCGCTCAACCCCACTCAGTATTTTAGGAGAAAGGCGACATGATTTAATAATAAAAAAGTATGAAAAATGCAAAAATGATTCCATCCGCTTTTCTCGTCCGTGGAGTGTGGATGAGTGGGAGAGGAGAAAGCCAATTACAATTAGGACCCAATTTGGGCCACTCTGACATGGCAGAGGACATGATCTAATGCTGCGCTCCTACACCACTTGATCTGACAGTAATGGCACAAGTGTCAGTGTGTAATCTCCTAATTTCCTTCCCGGAGAAAGAAAGAAAGGGAGGAGGCGACACCCCTATGAATCCCAAGCGCCTATGCATGCCCCTCAGCCTCCCAGAGATACATTATACACGTCCATGTACGCCTTGTTCACAATTTAAGGAAATTATCCCTCTCGCTCGCTCCGCTTTCTCTCTCCTCCGCTCCTCCTGCCTCTTCAATTGTTCGGCTAATTCGTGATCATCATCCTACACCAAACACTAATCCGGAATCTATGAGGGGGCCTCCACACACAATTCTTTTCCTTCCTGGAAGAATTGTGTGGGCAGGCAGGAGAGAAAACATGGAACATATTTCCTGGCTGAACCCTATAATCGTTCCTCATCCTACTCGCTTAAAAATTCAGCCCACATTTCTCTTCTCCCCTCGAAAAAAAAATCATGATGATGAAAGAGATCCATTCACGAAGCAATCCAATCCAATATTACTCGTCTTAATTCACAGTCTCATTGGTGGCAACCTTTTTAATACCTTTATTCCCCCGACAAGCACGGATGATGATGACGAGTAGGATGATCAGGAGCAGACTGGATGCTCGAGGGCGAGAAGAAGAAGAAGTGGACAAAGTGCGTAAATATAGAATGGACCCCTCGAATCATCCGCGTCCACGAGGGGAGCCAATCAGCCCATCATAATCCCACCAACTGATTATCTTCATCATCATCATCATGATTGGGCTCATTAGCTCATCCACCAGCGCAAACTAGTCCCAAGCACTGCTGGCAACCTTATTCCGTAACGAGGAGAAAGCCTCCTGCCAATGATTTCAGGAGGGAATTTCACGTGCCCGTTAATTTCACTCGCACTTTCGATCCCTGTTATAGAATCTACCCAAAATTAGCCCTTCGCTCAATTCCCAACAGATTTTTCTCTAGCTCGTGATTACTGGAAGTTATGCAAGTCAATACGGTGGGTGAATAGATTACTCACTGTTTGGTTAGGATTCTCCTTCTTCTTGAGGATGTGGGTATTTAGAAAAGAGTCGTTTCCTTCTGCCACGCTAATTGGGAACAGCGTCCACTAACTCGCGGATATTGGGCCAGACAATGAACGCAGACAATTAATCCCGACGGGGTGAAGCCCAAAAGTCTCAATTAAGTACGTGATGAGTCAAACGGGTGAAAGTATTTATTTGGAGGGAAGGAAGACGAGGAACTTTCACCCAAGGAAAGAATGCTCCAACAACAACTCGACAAAATAAATATTTTCTCTCGAGCTAAACTCATTTGTCTGTACACACCATTAAACCTACTAAACTTTCCCTGTATACGCGATAAATGAGCGATTGTAACGAGTGGTGTGTCAGCCAACGGTCGTATTTAGTGCAACATCTTTTCAAACTATTTTAGAGAAACTATGCACCAAAAAGTCCTGTTTTGAGCAAGAAACACAATAACTTTGTGCTCAAGTGACGACGATAAGTTGTGGAGAGCTATTTTGGCCACGCCATTAGCTTGAAATTCCTCCTCTCCTTCGCGTCGTAATTGTTGGGCACGGGGGGAGGCTGCTGAGTCATTTCTGCTACGAGAGGGAATTAATGAATGACAAATCCGAACAGATTTCAACTCTTCGAACGTCTCCATTATTCAAGAGGAGAGCTTTCTCCCTCTTTCTCCCTAAGCTGCCTCGTCTTGCATAAATCTGTCCATCTCAAATTGGGCGTCGTGCAATTAGCAGTTGTTTAAAGTTTTAAACGATGCAAATCTTGTTGTAGTTTGTCCTTCGCTCTGAAAGTCTATGTTTCACCAGATGCTGCCCTCCTCCAGCCAGACTGAGCCATCACAATTGCGCATAATTTGCATAAATCCACTGTCCACACAGCACGGCAGGAGTAGAGGAGTAAAGAACTGTGTAGTATTTATGCATGTCCATGCGTAGGAAATCTATCTAGCTGGTCATGGGTTCAGAAATCCGAGGGAATGATTGCCCAGCCATTAGTGGAGGAAAGTATAGGACCCTTGGTGAAGATTGTGTTAAACGGATGGTTTGGTTTTGGGGTCGGGTCGTGTAGCCGAGTTGAATGAGTCAGTTGTACTCACCTGGGACTCCATTGGTTAAAAAACTACCGGGGAAATGGCTACAACAACGCACTCCTCAATGTGCGGAATTGGGATTCACTTTCGACTTTCTCCTCACTTGTTTGCTGTTGGTAGTGGATTGGAGGAACCCACGCGAACCGCACAAGTGGAGAAAGTAAGAGAATGCCAAGTTCTGGTGGGATTTCCTCCTCTCGCAGAGAGAAAGTGGATCCTGTCTCCTTTCCCTCAAAGAGAGAGACTTTCTCTCTCTCTTTCAGAGCATGGAGATGATGATGGAGAGCAATTCCTTGAAATCAAATCATTTGGAATTCATCCGCGTCTCTATCATTTTCAGCTCAAGTTATGATCACATCCTGAAAGACGGAGAAGAATTTCTCAGCCCAGGGAGCCCAACCTAATTTTCATATTTCACTTTCAACCCAACTTTTGGGTGAGCAAAATAATAAAATAAATGTGAAGTTGCTTCCTCTTGCCGGACGAGGACGATAATAAAATAATATTCCCACCAGTCTACACAGACCCGAATGAAGGAGGAGGAGTGTCATTCAAATTTCGGAAATTTTGGACATGGCCGCATCCTAACTCCTCGAGGAATAAATATGTTTCTCTCCCTGCAGAAGGAAACTTTTTGATCCCGTCACGTCACAAAACCCTCGTGTGGAATGTCTCTCGGGTTAAAATGCTTTTAGGATGATCATATTCCGAACTGAGCAGGAATAAACGCGTCGCTTCATACTGAATGCAATACCCCAGAAACAAACACCTCGTACGACATGGGTGTGCATGTATTCATGGATATGCAAATATGGGTGGAGACGAGATGGGATGACGTTTCTAATATTTTAGTCAAATTGCTTCCAATTCCGGATGAGATTTGATGATCCACAGAATAGAATAAAATCTCGACTTACTTGACATAGTCTTGTTTGCAGAGCATCATTCCATCCCGGGAGAAACAGGTGGGTCCAATATCTGCGAGTTGGCAGCCACAAAGGGCACACTTGAGGCAGGAATGATGCCAGTAGCGGTCCCATGCTTCGAAAAGTACCCTGTCCAGTATCCCATCTCCACACCCACCGCAGGAACGAATCTGTAAAAGCAGCACACAGGAAAACATTTATCAGTGGTAATTTCTTTGGGTAAATCTTAAGCAGCGGCTTCTGAAATCAGGGTCATCATTCATTTCGCGATGCAAACATGTATGAGTCATGATTTTCTTCCTTCCTGCCCTCCTTTTCCCCAACCAATGTATGAACATGCACATTTTGTGGAGTTTACGTACGTTTGGTACGTATTTATGTCCTCCGTTTCTCGTCCAATTCAATTCGTACGTAATAAGTGACAAAAAACAAGGTCGACATAAATTCATAAATATAAACCAACTCTTGCGGTGGTGTAAGGGGAAATATGTAATAAAAACCGAGCTAGTTTGTCGCAATATTCTGCTAAATAAAAATAGAGTCGTGACGGTCCGACTGTTGTGGTCAAAGGATGAAATTAGTTGGAAATTGGAAATGAGGAAAATTGGAAAACAGGCGCCGAGAGGAGAAAGCTTAAGAAGAGAGAGAGAGAGAAAGCCAGCTTACTTTCGAGTCTTGAGGACATGCCCCTTGATTGAGACTCATTTGTGAGCAAATTCCTCCCGAATGGTGTCCCAGTCCTCCTCCGCCCCCATTCCCCAGGGGACCATGGTCATGCTGCTGCTGGTGGTGAGGATGGTGGGGGTGATGGGAGCGATGGTGGGGGTGGTGCGGGGGGAGTTGTGCGTAGTGCTGCTGGGGGAAGTTGCTGGCACTGGTGGGGGCTGGCGGGTAGTCGGAGGAGGAGGACGTGGGGCTCGGCCCTCCGTTATACAGATCCGGCGTCCCCATCCCACCGCTACTACTCCCACATGAACTCCCCCCACTATTCAAACCCCCGTTGTTCAACATTGCGGATTTGCGTGGGTATTTTTTCGTAGGCGCACTTTAACACTCAGAGTCTTATTCCGGAGCCAGAATAAGTTCTTTTTTGCTGTCTCACGAGGTCTCTCCCAAGCTGGGAGGAGAGGAATCGCAATTACAACAGAGCGAGAGAGACAGAGAGAGATGTTCCACAGCAGAAGATGATGCAGATCAAATCTCCGTCAAGTCTAGAAAGAAGAGAGAAACAGAAAAATCTCTTCAGAAAAGTGAATCCAACCACGAATAATTTCATCAACGAGATTATTAGCACATTAAACGACTCATTAACTAGAAAGCAAACTACTCACGAGGCAAATAATTCTCATTATTTTTCAATTATTCACTTCCAGATTAGAAGAAAATCTCATTTCGTTGGGCAAAGAAATACGATTACCATTTACAAATACGTGGAAAAACAAATACAAATGTCCACTTTTAAATTACATTTTCCCATTGCGATGCATTAATTTCTTTCATGTGTGTGTGTGCACAAATGCTGTTTAATGATTCACCTATTTGAATTTAAAAGATTTCATTATAGCATTCATCTCGTCGACGTAGATGTTATTTAGAAGGGACGGAACGCATGGAATAATCCCAAGAGCACAGAGTTAATAGATTGTGGTTTATTTATGCGCCCTGCCTGATATTCCATCTGTTTTACTCTGCTGTAGCCTGAGAAGGATGACGCCGACCATGATTCCACTCTTATTATTGTTATCATTCTCTCCTCTCGTTTTGATTGGAAGTGGATTGAGTGAAAAAGCCTAGGGCGAGCTGGCTGAGGTTGCAGTTAATCACACTGTCAAGCACATGAATCCATAAATCCAATCCAGCCCAGAAGAACAAAATCCAAGCCAAGTTGGAATATCAAATCAAACGCAATACCACCAACGCCAATTCACATAATCAAGAAATTGGTCTTGAATTTAGATTGAATTTGACCAAGCCAACAATGAAATGACAGCGTCAAACTGCAAATTGAACCTCCACCTCCTCCAACAAACAACACCACCATCCTTAACACGTCGTTCAAGGAATAATAAGAATAATGTGAGGAATCAAGTCTCGATTATGATTCTGGTGGAGGAAAAAAATAGAAAATTTATTCATTAACAAAACCTTAAAAATTAATGACCACTTCCAAATCAAGAATTTCTTTGAAAATCAAATCATCCATGATTATTAAGAATTAAATAAATGTGTGGAATTTCCTCAACATTTGACCCGCATTGTTGTTCTCTTTTCTATGCATTTTTCCATCTCTCTATTCATGCCAGCGTCTTCTCACTGCTTTTCTGTGCTAGTCATCCCTAGAGCTCCAGCAGAAGATGAGAGGAGGAGAACAAAGGAGGAATGGATGAGGGACATTGTCCAACAAAAAGTCGGAAATATCTGTGGTGTCATTCATTCCAATGAGCAGCGAGTAATGCTGAACCTGTTGTCAGATTTCTCATTTTCCAATTCACCACGTAACCTGCTTCGTCACGGCGTTAAGTGGGAACCAACCAAAGATCTAATCCAATTCAATCCAGGCACCCAGAGAACCGAGGAGAACTTTACTGTGCCACGTAGTAATAAAGCCCAGCCAGTGTCATCAGGATGAGCCCAACCAACCAACGAAGCACCAACTTGTGCAGAATGTGTGATCTCGCCCAAGATTAATCTCGTTAAAATACCTTTTTGTTCCAACTAATTGGGTGCGGAGAGAGAGAAAAGAACACCTGAAATGCTGATTGAGAGATCGAATCTCTTTCCTTTCTCTCGCGTCATCCACGAGTACAACAGCCCACACTCTGAGCTCCATCAATTTCTCCCATCCTCCAACTCAGCCAGAGCTGGGCAATTAGTCCATATTACGTATTTCAATCCCATTGATTCAGTCGTAATGATAAGATATTCGAAAACAGATTTAATCAGCTCCTTCTTGAGGCCAAACACACGACCGACCAAATGGACAATAAAATCCATCCAACATCAACCCTACACGTATTAAATTGGTAATAAGTAATATCAACAACAACCACATCCTCGTGTTATTCTTGCAGTATATGTATGCATTTAGTTGTGAGCAGTCAGTTCCTGCCACTTAATTTACATACTGTATGCACGGAGAGATTAATTAGACCCCTTGCCATCAAATGCTCATTACTTGGTGATTTCAGACCTCGATTGCGGACTGCAACCATTTGGCAAAGTCACACACAACAGGACGCAGAGTAAACAAAAGTCAACCTTTCTTATTAATATTTTCTTTGGATGGGCAATTCCGACATGATTTTGTAGCAAGTAATGTTCGCTGGGTGAAGTTAATTGAGGTTTGAAAAGAGCTCTATTTATTATTATTATTATCATTATTTGAACCAATCTTGTCGTCCCTGCTGGACATTTCTTGGTCGTGATTTACATTTTACAATCTTGTTTCTCAACGGGATTTCAAACCATGGGATGAAATACAATATGATGATACAATCAAGAAGATATTGTTGTTCGAGTCGAGTTGATTGGTTTGGGAATAAATTGACATGTTATTTCCCATTTGCAATAATAACAACGCAACCAATTGAGACATTGTTTGAGCCATTACTTTATCCCCCGTAATTCTTGGGACCAAACCACCAACCAAGTCACTAACAAGGCAAACTTATGACCCATGTCGACTCATTATTATTATATTATTATTTCTTCTTCTTCTCCTTCCTTTCTGCCATGGTGGTGCTGCATACTAATGCACGACCCCTCTCTCACAAACCCACTTATTTATTGGCCGTCTTAAAAATTCAAATTATTTTTAAAGACTGGTTTTTTCAGTTTTATGACTTTTGGTGCTCTCTCTGTTTGCTTAAGACGAGGAGATGCAATATGGATTGGGTAGAGACTCGAGTGTGGGTCATAAAGTGAGGTGATGAGGATGAGATGAGTAATCTTGGGATGTGACTGCACGGACTTGGACCAATTGGTTACACGGCACAACATAAAGATAACGAGAAGAACAATTGATTGATTCGTCTTTGCTTTCCACGTACCTCAAAAAGACGCCTTTCAACAGCACCAATAATGTGACACGAGTATAAAGTTTTAACCGTAAGGATTAATAATGGGCGACCAAAGTTTCAAGTTGTCCATTTCTCCATCCACGAATGTTGCTTTTAATCCAACCAAGAACAAGAGCGTTTTTTCTTACGTCCTCTTATTTGCATGCTTACTCTACGCATTCAGAACGCATAAATGTCGTGTCCTTATACTTGCCCAAGCTGTGTATAGACATGTATAAAGTTGGATTTGTTAGGAAAAAATGAATAAAAATCTGTGGCTCCGCATGGGAAAACAAGGAAGGGTGCATGCTTTTTAATATATTTTTCTCTCCTGGTCCTTTCCTCTCTCACGAGGAGTCTCATCTTTATGAAGATTGGACTGATGGGAGGTGGCTCTTGGGAATTATTACTTTTATTGCTGCCCATTATGTCAAGTCCATCATAACATAACTTTTCGAACAAATAGAGACTACAAATTGCCTCCTTATGCAGTCCACAAAATGGAGAACACAAAATTTAGCATCCCGTTTTTTTCCTAAAGCCAAGTATTCACCTCATGTTTTTCGCGTGAAAACACACTTTTCGGGCGAAAAGTGAAAAAATTTCGCCCCCATTTCGCCTTACCTTGGAAAATATTTCGGATGAAAACTTGCGACGGTTTTTCGCCCGAACGAAATTTACTTGATTTTTTCGGCTGAAGTGAGGCGAAAAAGTTTTCGCCTGAAAATCGTTTTCGGCCGAAATTCGATGCGCCAATTTCAAATTTTGACTTTATTTTTCTTTTATAAATTCAGATTACGCATTTTTTTAACTCTTATTTCTTTAACTAGTTTTAATAAATCTTAAACTTGAATTACACATTTTAATTAATGTGTTTATAATTAAAATATCTAAGTGGTTTAATTCCCAGCTGAGATCGTGTCTACCGAAAATTTCCGAGAGGTGAATACCGTGGCCTTTTCAGGCAGAAATTATTCAGGAAAATATTTTGGTTTTCGCCCCAATTTTAATTCTCTTCCCGAAATATTCCGGTTGAAATTTTCGCCCGGAATTTTTTCGGCCGAAAAAAAAGTAGGTGAATACTAAGCTTAAACTTGAAACTTTCCGAGGCGAAACATGGCCAAAACTTAAGCAGATGAGTACATTTGGTACATGGTTGGTCCAACTTATAGAGAAGCAAATTATAGGAAAAGGATACACATGATTATTAATCCATAATAATTTCTCAACTTCAAAAGCCAACCGCTCCTCTTGATCAAAATCACCACCCAGTTTAATTTCATGGACAAATCACAAGTAATAATCAGCCACACCTACATTTCACGAGTTTAGTACCAAAGACGAATGTGGGTGGATTAGGCAAAGCGTTCGTTGTGTATTGTGATTGGCTTGGTCGTAACCTTACTTTGGAGGGTACGCCGAGAGACATTAAGGAGAGAACACCAGAGAGATCGAAATAATGACGAGCAGGATGAAATTACATTACAGAAATCTCTCCCGATGATCAGCAGCGGTGTGCAGAAGAGTTGGAAAAATGTTCAATTATCAACACAAGTCGTCACCCGAGAACAACGTGGTGGCGAAGAGATGAGCTCACTTATTTCATCCCAAATCATTTATGAAAGGTCACACTCTGCACTATTCACTCAACTCATTTAATACTTTGCTCTCTGCTCCTTCGATCCCCACCCAGAACTAGATACTTTATGATGGTATTCCTATTGCAGAGTTTTGCTAGTGGTGACGAGATTGATCGCCTTGTTAGACCAATTCCTTCAATTTGAGTAGGACAACGCACTTTGTCAAAACACTAATTTTTTATGCAAAATAGAGAGATACCCACCGACATGTTTTTCCTTTACTTTGCACACACACACACACCCACAACTAAGAATTAGCTGAATGTGGAGACGCAGGTGATGAGAGCTTTTGCACTGCTGACGGACTGTGTGTGATACCACCGAAGCCGACGAAAAGTGATCGAGTAATGTGGTTGTTTAATTCTGTAAGCGTTTTTGCCCTTTCTTGGCCCGATCAACGAATCCCACTTGCACTGAACACATCACTCGCCCTTTCTTTGTGCATGGGATTCAGAGATTCTGCTTGAATCCAAACCAATAATTATCGCCATCAAGCATCACCTTCAAACTCTA